GAAAATCTCAAAAAATGAAGTCTTTTTCTTTATTGAGAAAGAAGATTAGAAACATATAGGGTTCATGGAGTTTCCAATTCACTTTTCTGATTGTAGATGAACTTGAGAGAAATTTTGCAAATGTTCCTCATATTTTACTGTGCAATTAGTTATGATATATTAATTATGTGGTTTTAGAATTTTCTATAAAGTGTTACGATGAAATAGTAACAGAATCAAGGTGCTCCAGAAATGAATGTGATCAATTCTTGATAAAATTCTATTTCAAAACTTCAGTTTCGTATCAAAATCTTCATTCTGATTTTCGCCTCAAATCAAATCAAATTCTAAATAAACAATAGATATATTTTTAAAGTCATTTAAGTTTTAAATAAATAATGTAATTACAAATCAAAATACTTGTCTGATTTGATTCTATTGGAATTGAACACAAGTAGAAATCTTGGAAACATATCATGGCAAAAATTTCCGCATGTATATAGAATCGTTTATCGATATTTTTATGCCAGACACCAGGAAAATAAATCTTAAGAAAAGTGAATTGGAAACTCCATGAACCCTATATGTTTCTAATCTTCTTTCTTAATAAAGAAAAAGACTTCATTTTTTGAGATTTTCTATTAGAAATTAATTTACTATTTTGAACTGATATTCGTCATTGTAAAAGTATTTTTGTCACAAGATAATACATTACATATCGTGTCATATGTGATTCTTCATTATCAGAGTTGGTTATCTGTATGAGAATACATTATTAATGATCGAAATAAATTATATAAGTGAAATATTGTGTTCAACTTTTTCTAAATTTCAAAGTCATCCTGAAATCGTAGGAGAAAAAATTTGTAGAATAGACTTCGTCAATATCTTACGTTTGAAGTAAAGCGACAAGTCTTTCGCTAGAAAAAAATTCAATAGGCTATCGAAACAGGATTATAATTCTCACGAATGAAATGATGACATGTAAATTACTGTTAGATATAATCAAATATAGTTTTCAAAAAAGTAAATATATTGCTCATATAGTTTTATTGTTCTTTGATTTCTATATTATAAAGCAAAACAAAAATAAGTTGATGATATAAATTAATCAGTATCAGAACAATAAACGAATTACATCCAGTTGATATATTGAGGGTGTGGGTTGGTGTGCGTGTCGGTGTAGGTGGGGTGTCTCAAGGAGTAGAGGAATACACACCCACACGCAAATTTCACTATCTTCAATACATTTTTATACATTATGCTAATAAACTATATATCCATCCTATAAGATAGTGCCATTATTCTTTGATTCATTTCTTTCTTAGGATGGGCGTCATAGTTGAAATAGAATTTTTTTATTTCAGTTCTTTTTATTGTAATAGAATTAAGATTCTATCACATTACTACTTATCTTTATCAATATAATTTTATTGCTTTCGTATTACTTTCACTAATCATCGTTTTTTTTATCAATGGGTTAGTGTTATACAAATAGATTTGTTTATATGATCAATTTCCAACAAAGAAAAATTTATTTTTTTGAATATCTTTCTTATCTATACTTTTGATTAGAGGCCAACAATTGATTTCATTCTATTATTGAAAATCAAGTGAATCGTCGTGCCATTATTGGCAAGTATTTGTTCCCACTTCGAAAACTATTAGATAAAATTTAACTTGAATATTCATCAAGATAATAAATATTTGCTCCTTGCATGGAAAGGTGGCATCAGCTAGTGCATTATGAGATATTTTAGTAGTTTACCGGTTGAAATAGTAAATGGTTGCGTAACCTTCTTTTTTTTAATGGACATATTCCTAGTATGGTCCCTCTAAAATGGCTAAAAATAATGAATCTTATGGAAAACTTATCCCAACAATAGATATCGAATTCTTACCATAGTCAATCAAGAAGAGGCTTCGAGGTGAATTTTTTGACCAAAAAAGCAACGTGCGAAAATTTAAAAATACTGTTAAGTCTGAGTTCTGAACGCTGATTCAGAATGTCATATTGGTTACTAGACATAAGAGAAAAATCATGAAATCATATCTCCAAGGTATTCTTGGTGGGATCTTTTTTTCTAATCGATGTTTTCTTCCTTGATGATTTCAGATCATATTGAAATGCTAATGAAGTACTGCTTATGAGAAACAATCAGGTTTAAAGTATATTTAACGGTCATTGATTTTTACAATCAACTCGAAAGGGCTATTCTCAGCAGTTATCAACCAATCTTGTTTAATTATCTGATGATGAACAGAATAAATATTTTGAACATCTGATATAACCTTCTAGTAGAATAACCATTGATTTCCAATTTCAGCTCTTTCATATCTTGCTTTTCACTGATTTTTATAATTTAAAACCAAACACTTTAAAATCCCTTCAAAACATTGAATCTTTTAAAACAAAAAGAAAAAATCATACATTCATTTTCATGAAGGCATCAAAAATGATGTAGTCTTAGCAACATCGTTGCCGACTTTTCGGGACGTTACTATTATTTCATCATCAACAACTTTTTATTAAAAGCTGCGTTTTTGGATGCTACCTAAAATATATATGTGAGATCTTGCAGAAACTCATATTTTTTATGTTTCTTGATAAAAATACAATATTCTGTGCACATTTTATCAAATATCAGATCGATACCCGGTCTGTTTCAGCTTAATTTACACTGATGACTGCCGTTTTCTTTAATGAGAAACGAAAATTCACTGACGAGTTGATGACCTTATGCAACAGCAACAAGAACATCCACCACATGCAGACATCCGTAAACGCTATGTTAATAAGACTCTCTTAGAGTTTCAAGAAGCCAATCGTAATCCAATATATGGTTATGAAGCTATGCCTCTTAAAACTTTAGAAGAAGCTACGGAAACAGTCACTCATCGTGTTTCAGGTCTTTCAAACTATGTAGCTCGAGCTAAACAAGAGTGCAATAAAGATTTCACTATTTTGACTTTGGATGAATCTGCGGCAATCTATCTGTACTCGATGCCAACACCTTTTCATTATCGTCTGAACAAGTCTCTACGAATTGAAAACCGAGATGCATTGAAGCCGTGGTTTAGCTTCTTAAAATTATTTACAAATGCTCTTGAAAAATTACCTTCAAATGAAAAAGTTGTTTGGCGAGGCATTTCAGAAAATATCGGTTCAAATTTTAGTAAAAATAATATTTACACTTGGTGGAGTATTAACTCATGTTCGACAGATCTTGAAGTTGCTCAAATGTATTTAGGCAAGCAAAGTTCACTTTTTGTTATTCAATCAGTTCGGGGCAAAGAAATTTCTCCATACTCATCATTCCCAAACGAGCATGAAGTCGTCCTACTTCCAGGTACTTGCCTTCGTGTTCAGAGTAATACATTCAACTTTGAAAATCGTCTTTTCATTGTTCATTTGGAAGAAGTAACCCAATCTAACTTATACAAGAGACATCTGAGTAAGTCCATATAAAACCGACTATGAAACTTGCGTCTCCATGTGTTAAGTGTTTGAATGTTTTAGAACTCGTAAAGTATACGGGATGTTAGGAGCAAATAATGTATATACTTTCGGATAATTAACATATATTTGACTCCAGTTATTATATAGCATCACTCAATAGATTTCTTTAGCATTTCTAATGTTACCGATGTCACAAGTTCAATAGCCTAATTTCTAGATACTTTGAATTGAATATTCTCAAGTATGCCATATGATATTATTACCGCTTATCAGTCGAAAACAGATCCTGATGAAATTGATGCTATTGCCCCCCCCCCCCCTTCCCCGCATAAAAGATCCCCCAAACAGAAAGCCAGTTTTGAGCAAAGATTTTTGAAAAACGCTCTGTATGGATACGATAGTTTCTCATTAACAATATTACGATGTGCGAAGCCATAATAGAAGGTCATGTCCTTGTAATCTAGCGGAGGAGGTTTAGTCTAAAATGATTCATGTCCATAAACATCTTCGACAAAGTTAGAGTGGTTCAGTAGATTGCACATTTCTGAGAATATTCTAAACGTTTTAGTCAAAATGGTTACTTCCTTCTTAAGATATCCAATTTTTTAAGGATGTGGATAGTTTCACCTTTTAATTCAGTTTTTCTATAAATAACTTGTTGGCTGCTGAAAATCGACCAAAACGGCTGTAATACTTTAGAGAAGTTACATGATCATGAATCGTTTCTAGTTTCTGTTAATTTCTTCAAACTCTATATCGACTAACAAGATGAAAGTATATCATGCAAATCAACTACAATGATTATTTTCTTAAAACTTGGAAAATGTTATAAAATCATAAAATTAAACAGAACGAATGGAAATGAGTAGCACTTGTTAGAATGATTCACTCAAACTTTCATAGCTTTTGGTAAATGAAAGTTCTTGTTACTTGATTTAGTCATAACCTGAAGTTATACTCCACTGATGGCATTGGTGCTAAGCTATGTGAATAAAAATCTAGCAAAAGGTTTTGGTGTAACACATAGAATTGGAATTTTAGGGTTTTCATTGAAATCAAAGATCAAATAAGCGCTATCTCAGCCTCTTTATTCACGCAGAATATTTTTGACAGACATCAAACCATCACCGATATCCAGACGATATCATCGATTGATAAGCCAAGCAAGTAGGAGCAATAATTTTCTCATTCAATCACTATTTACTTTTCAATAGTAACCTTATTTTTGCAAACAATGAAGTAAAATTTTATTTTCAACATGACATACTCAGAAAATTGTTGACGATCAAAATTATACAGTTAGAAATGACGCAAGTGTGTAATTCTATTACTAGCTGTATCTATGTTAGAGCACGGTACATATGGAAAAGACTACTTTTACTGCATTTTATCTTCGCCTCTTCCAGTCAAGGTTTGAAACGGTCAAGTTAGAAGTTCCACTATCAAATGGTTCAATAAAGGATAATCAGTATAAATCTCTGCAGACTGTTAATTTAATTTAGTAAATGAGCTCATGATATTGAGAAATCCGAAGATAGATAGCCATATTCGATATGGAACAATTTTGTCGAATAGCGGTTCGGTTGGATTTTATTTGACTTTTTAGGACAATACAGCTGATTTAATTTGCTCGTTTTAAGTGACTTCCACCGTTTTACTGATCAAGATATATAAGTCAGGAAGTCTTCAATTGACACATTTCTAGTCGTCATCACAATGTCTATTCCAAACATTGAGCCAATACTTTCTCATCGTACACTGAGAACCTTAGATCATGCAGAATGAATTAATTATGTTGTCAAAAACTTGAACAGGAATGAAAAGTTAGTTTCGGTTTAAACTAAGGACTTTTCATTTGAAAATTTTATGATCAGACGTCAGAGCAGATCATAAAATAGAAAGTCTAATCAAACTTCACAATTGTAAAGAAGTTCCATTATTATAGAAAAAAATCATCGCCAATTACTAGAAGAAAATTTATGAAAGAAATTTTCATTCGCTCTTGATATAAGCACGTTCAAAATGTGACTGACTAAACTAGAAGTTGTTACTATACGAAACTCGAAAATCTGTATGAGTCTTACACTGAATGTCTTCCTAAAATTGCAGTAATAAATTGTATCGTGGAACAACTGATTGGTTTATTAGTTGATATGTTGAGTTTAGCGATTTTTTGTCGGTAAAAACAAGAGACGCCGCTGTTCGGTCAGCTTTTATGACATGCTAGTTTTTTTGGTATCCGGAGATCTCTGCTGAAGGGATTTTGGGTGTTGGTGGTGTGTGTGTGTGTGTCTCTGTCGGTATGGATGCAAAGAACAGCCACAGCTGTACCCACACTCACACCCACACCCACACCCACATGCCCATACTCCCACCCTCAAAAGCTCGAAACAATCTATATCGACCCGAACGGAGCCAAAGCAGCAGCCTACTACTACCAGTTTAGACTTTGATGTCATGATTTTTGCAACGAAAGAATTCTTTCTTTTTATTGAATCCATATCACAAAGGAGGAAGATTCCAAAGATTCAGAGAATCTTACATCCCCCACTACGTCCGTTGATGTTATCATTGCCGAACCTTATAGTCATATCCATGTTCAAGCTACATTCGTTTTACTGAAAGACAAGCATTTGTTATTGATACAATTTTTGATTATCAACGATAACGATGCGCACTGGGAGAATTTTAGCGATTTGTAAATAATAACAAATTTTAATTCTTGACAGAATCAACTTCAATAATGATTGCCTAATTTCTTTTTATTAACTTTTGTTTAAATGGTTTATCGTTTGTGTCTTGATCAGATAGCAACTTTTCGTTCTTGAACAATACCCAATCATCAGACTTGATAGACGTTCCATTCGATACTCCAACTACTCAACATCATTACAATGTGAGAAAGCTCATCATGTGGCTCCCAGAATGTTGGCAATCTATGAAGAATGGAAGTTCAATGATGATGTTCCACATTGTATCCAATATCATGATTATTATTCTGTTTATTCTCGGTTGCGCTTTATTAATTACTTTATCATCCAAACATGTCACAAAAACAACAGCAATACCATTTTTGGCCACTTCACAGATAGAAGAAAGTAGGATTAGAGCTTTAAGCGATCATTTTTTTCGATCACAACAATAAACTATTTTAAGCTCGAGATATACTCTAAATCATCATCTAACTAGTCTGCAATATTGTCTGTGTAGATTATTAAAATCGAACAAAGCTAAAACTTGATATTTTTAGTCAATCAACTTTGAAAAGATCTCTTTTAAAAACTTAACTTACTTTGAAAAGAATTTTTTAAATATACAGTATCTCTTAACATCAGAGATAGCTTTCTTAAATTATATACAAAACGAAATGTACTGTTTAAACACACAGTATGTTAAAAAATATGCTTTTTCTTTTCTCTCGTGATGACAGTCATATCTGAAAAAGCTGAACTATGGGAACAATGCAATGGACACGAGTATACCATACCACGTTTATGTGAGAAAGGTGCCGATTGTTACGCAAGAGATCTTTCATATTGGCAAGTGAGTCCTTTGATTAGAAATAATTTTTTGAAACCTTAAATAAAAAGTATTCTCGTTATAGTGTCGACCTAAGGGTAATTGTCCAAATGGTAGGCTCATTTCTTTAATTCAACAAAAAGAAAAATTTAGGAGAGAGAACAGTAGGTAAAAGATAAGAAAAGAAAGAGAGAACTGCTGTGAAAATCATTAGAAAATCTTATTTCAATCAGAAATAAAAGATAGGGATTCGAGCTTTCGTGTTCGGACTGAACACATCGTC